AAAAAAGTCGAGAGGAGGGGAACAGAAGAGTGTTTCAAAGACGAAGGTTGAAAATTTAGAAAAAATGTGATGTAGTACTGTGGAAGTGGTCGAATATGACATACACTGGGGTCAGAGGTCAACTGCCGGTTAATAGATTTTTTTGTCGTATGAGTATACGTTGCCCAGGGTGCACCACGTGGAGGTGAGTCTATCGCACATCCCATTTATTCTAAAACAGATCTGAGTTTGTTCGAAGGAGATTGAACCAATCATTGATCTTCACCATCCCGTCCACGAAATTTCAACTCCAATTTCATCATTAAAGAAATACAGTTACTTATATGAGCTAAAAAAACAGTTCAACTACCCTATGCAAGAACAACAATGATGTAAACATGAGAACACTTTACGTGTTCGCATTTAACTGCTATCAAAATCCTTTATTCAAAACTGATATGAATAAGCCTTAGTATCTTAGATATTTTAGCAAATAAAATGCAACCATAGATAGAACTATCAACCTAAATTCTTAAAATATAAAGGAATTTAAGAGGATAATTTAAAAACACAGTTCCATCATAATCATCGTTAAACAGTTCGAAAAATGGGAAGGTGTTAAAAATGGGCCAAATAATTTGAAGTATAAGTGCCAAAACATGTTGAAATAACTTTTGGTACTTTGTAATGGAGAGGAAGAAGTTTCTCAATTTCCCATTTCTTTAAAGTAAGACTTACCTTGCTGTAATAGTGGTTCTGCTGTTATTGATATAGCAGTAGGAGAGGGGGAGAGAAATAGAACGGCGAAACTGACGTACTGTTGGCATGAAGTCAATATGTTAATTTTAACGAGACTATTTATAGGAGTTCACAACTATCAGTCATTCCAGTGTTGAAGAAGATTTCTCTAGACTAACTGTCCAGGTACTAGAATATATTAACGCGTAAGAGACCACAACGCTTATATTGATCATTCACCGAAAGCACATAGGCTGTGATTTTAAGGTGAAAGCGCCCTGCGAACTCTCCCTTATCGTTTTTAAAGCATTTCAGACCATTTCAGGATAAAAATGGTAAGCATATTGAAGATCAGTTTATAAAAATTTGTTTTAACTCTCGATCTTGAGCAGCAAGCTATAATGTCAGTTAAGAAGACTTTTGATAGTCAAGGGTACTATTTATCAAGTCAATAGATCGATTCCTTATCATTTAGGTTTGGGCCACCTTCTTCGAATGACCTTGAGCAACGTCACATGAACAGGAAATGGAGATTAATATTTTGAAGGGGTACTCATTGCCCTCGAGATTTCCAGTCATTTTTATGAACCTCTTGATGAAGGAAAATTTGAGGAGTTTCATGAATATTCGAACTTAAACACCTCCCCTCTCTCTTTTGAAAAATTTGGAAGAATTTTATTAGACGGTTTATATTTTTAAAGGACTTCTTCTTGCCCGACATATGTTATTACATTGTTCACACATGTTACAAAACTTAATTGTAAATACATAAAAAGATGGTGAATTAATGGTTGAATAAATATACAGTTTTAGAGAATTCGATGGATCCTAGCCGTTAAACATTGGATTTATCTTCGGGTCTTTTAAACTAAGTCCTCTTACTTCTTAAGTCTCTCCAACAGATGCCACCCGAAAAAATAGACAGGAATTGCTAGGATAACTTACAAATCTGTTCAGAAGGCTGCTTGGAATATTGACGCCTTCCTAATATTTTAGGCCATTTTTATTATTGAAGGAATTTCAGTCCGTTATAGGATAAATTAAAAAAGTTAGCTCTTTCTAATTCACAATTTTTTTTCATTCTGAAAAAAACTTGTCTGCACCCTTCTGAACTCCTGGAGAAAGTTTTGAATCTGCACACTGCACTGAAAATTTATGCCTGTTTGGTAATAGATCAACAGTTTCAGCGGATTTCAGATCAGTCGGGCTTTCTTATTATGATAGATTTAGTAGACTCCTCATATGAATTGATTTCGTTTTTAGTAGAAAAATAACTTTCACCGGGTGCAAATTAGCCTTAAAATCAGAATATAGCCTCAGATGTTTGAAACAGCCTTTTATTGTTGACTAAAGATCTAAAAGTCATTTAATCGATTATATAAATTTTTGTTGGTTGCACTTTTTCCTACAAACGAATGACACGTTAAAAACTAACAGAACACTTAAAAAATTTTTTTTTAAAAAAATTAGGAAATGTTCACACTTTGAGTATAAAAATATATTAGACAGTGTATGAAATGCAAATCATGTTTAAATTGGCTCGTTCCACAAAGAAATTAAAAAAATAAAAACTAATTGCTTATAATAATACAATATTTGTCATATTGCTTTTGTTTATAAAAAACTCAAAAAAAGATTTATTTTCCAAATATACGCAACAACGTATTTTCTTTTTAGCACAAATGCCTTAGGATAATGTAATTGATTTGGTTAAAATATTTTAATTAATTAATTTTAAAATAATAGTCACGTTATTTACTCAGGATTCAGCATATCATTATAATGAAATTAGTTGTGATTTTGATAAACTAAAACTGAAAACGTTGCCGCACTTTTTGGTTTCCTGTCGTGTACCTATATGATGGCTGCTCGAAGAAAGACAAATAAGCCCCAGGTTGAAGAACAGCTTTCTCTTAAAGCTGCTTTGAACCCCGACGAGACTGTTTTTGGTGTTTGTCATATTTATGCATCATTCAACGACACTTTTGTCCACGTTACGGACTCTACCTGTTCTGAAACTATAATTCGTGTCACCGGTGGAATGAAAGTCCGCGCTGATCGTGACGAATCCAGTCCCTACGCTGCTATGCTTGCCGCTCAGGATGTAGCTGATCGTTGCAGAGCTTTGGGCATTAGTGCACTGCATGTTCGTATACGTGCTACCGGTGGAACTAAGTAAGCATTTTTTTCTTTATTCTAACTTATGCTCTAGGGCTCGAACCCCAAGTCCTGCTGCTCAGTCTGCTCTGAGGGCCTTGGCACGTTCTGGGATGAAGATCGGCAGAGTCGAAGATGTTACACCAATTCCATCTGATTCTTCCAGAAGGAAGGGTGGTCGTCGTGGTAGGAGATTGTAAATTGCTTGAAATATCACGAGTCGAAATAAAATTGACTTGTTCTTGTTAATTGGAATGCAGTCTTCTGCGCTATGAATGACTTTTGTCTATGCAACATTTATTCGGTATTTGATGGTAATGATAGTCTTTTATATTGTCAAATGTAAGGCGCTAGTGAATTATTTTCCTTAAATAATTCCTTCACCAATTAACCTTCATTTTTGTGCTATTTGGCGGCTGGTTCCGTATACTCTTAAGAGCCAAAGTGGTAATTTTTGCTTATTTGCGATTTATGCAGATATGGTTATTATTAAATAGCTTTATGGTTCCTCGTAGCCACACAAAATTGCCACTTAATTTTGGCTGCTTATTTAAGACTGAATATGTAGTAGTGTAGTGTTTCCCCTTAGGCAAAATTTATCTTCGAATCAGTTTCGAGTATCTATATTCACCCGTTGCCCATTTGAATTTACAAGACTAGAATAAGGAAAAAATCAGGTGTATTTGTGATGTATTGTCTACACTGAATTGCTTTGATCGTCCGCAGATGCAACAGGAATCGGGTCAGATAGGGATCGTATTAGTGTTTTCCAAGTAATCATGCCGGTAGTGGCGAACACAAAGTTAGCTAAATGAGTAAGAGAAATGGTTAAACGTATAGTAAGATGTACCTTCTTCGTAGATTGCGACTTTTCGCAGAGCCGCCAGTTCGGAATGGGTCATTCCGCCGACAAAGGCAATAACGACCGTTCTGCTGCGTTCTCCGTTGGAGCTCGAGGTTAGATTTTTAATAAGGCTGTTGTTGGTGTTTGACGTATCTCTAGTAGAATCCCCTGGATTGTGAACTTCATTCACTTCAACAGCCGGAATAAGGTTCATCACAAAGCTTCCATCTCCTCCATTAGCTCCTGAGCTATGCGAAACAAATCTAGAAGAATATAAAATTTTAATTTGACCACTTACCTTCGACTTGCGTTAATGGCGGTTGATGCTGCTGTAGAAAGCAGAGATGTGCTATGTGAATTCACAATAGAGCTAGTTGAAATTAATGGACGGGTTGGCCATCCTAGAGCCATAGCTTGCACTAGCCGTACACTAACAGGAACCGAACCTCCGAAAATTTGGGCAAAGTCGTTGTCAAGATTCGGTTCCCCAGTCTGCTCGCCTTTATTCAACTGCAAACGAAGACTCCTACGTAGTGTGCTCTCATAGGCAAGCGAGACAGATGCTATCGTGTGTCGAACAGCGGCGCTTGAATCACCAGACAGGATAGGATCTGTCTGGTTGTTTCCTGGTCGCGCAATCATTGAGAGACGCGATCTCTCCTCAACTAAACCAAGACTTCGAAGATTGTTCAACGTCAGCATATGTTCTGGCCCATACATCTACAACAGGAAAGTGATTCCTCAGCTCATTGTAGAAACGCATTTAAAATACATTTAAAACATAACCACATATTATAATCAGTAAAATCAAGCACTGATGACTACCAGTCAGGTATACACGTTGACAGCAACTCCATCGGTGCACACTTAAAACCTTCAATGGAGGAGGAAGAAAGATATGTGGAATACGGTCATTTAAGAAACGCACCCAATCGAACCCGTGATCTCTGGTTTGGGAGATGTGGTACGGCGGAAATTGAATGGGGGGGGGGAGGGGAGGTACTTTCTAATACTCATTTTGAGGCGGCTCGGATAAAATACTCACATTCTACCACTCCCTGTTTAACTAATTAATATCTGACCTGACAGACATACACATTGATCACTGAGCCTCCTGTATACATTAAGCACATTGGAAACTAACCTGAATAATTTCATGCATATAAAGCTCCAATGCTTGTTGCTTAAGTCCTCCACTGCAGAAGGATTGCACGCAGATAAGTTGAAGGATCTAGAGATATGAACGAGTTAATTTATTAAATCTTTTCACTTCTTCTAAAGGAGCCATCTGAAGAATACGCTGTTCAATGAAGGGGTGAATTTTATCAGACTCATTGCCATTTAAGAAATCTAAATGAAGAGAGAGAGGGAGTGAATCAAACACAATTGTGTACTTCAAACCATACCTTGTTGGGCCCGGTAGGAAGATATAAAATTGTCGGTTGTGGCATACTCCTGAACAGCCTCAGCAATTGACATATCTACAATCATGACACTAAATTATAGTTTTTTTTACATTGAGTTGTGTTAACTGACTAAAATAGGGAAATACAACGATCAGTAGTTTATTAATTGTGGTGATTAACCTAGTTTATTCATCAAAGGAACTCCTGGATCTCATCGAATTTGAGAATAGGTAAACGACAATAACTCGGCATTAGTATCAATAAACAACACGGGATAATATGCTATAGTTACATTTGGCGTTAAACGAATTCGAGAGCTGTGTCAGAAAACTGGACAACTTCCTGTGAATCTGAGTTCTGCTCACTAGAAAGCACATAACGAGATCGAAGTACGTAGACAATCACATTGATCTAGTCAATATTGGTGAAAAATCCGAGCCTCCCAATAAGGAATCACCATAGTATAACCTTTACACAAAATTTGTGAGCTGGAAAGTGACACATTTAAGAAACTTAATAATTTTCATATACCATAACTACTTGTGTCGCAGAAAACCATTGCTTGTGGGTTATGGCCTCTGATAATTTATTTTTACCTAAAATCTATAGGTCGTTTCTTTTAATTGCACAACAAAAGCCATTTTCGCCTTAATGGCTCAATCGAGCAACAGAACACCACATTTAAAGAGCCATTTCCGCATACTACTTAGTAAAACTTTAAAAATGAAACTTACGTAGCGATGCAGAAGAATGCAACTGCCTTAACTCTGGCAATTGCTTAACCACTTGTTTCAAAGTGGTCAAACTCTTCGAGTTCTTGGTTTCCTAAATTTCAATATAAGCATTAAGCACCAATGAGCCGTAAACATACATTCAACACGCTTGAAAGCCCTTTGGTGCGTTTGCTAAGAACAGCACCAACATTCGCAAAGTTCTGGTCTCGAATTTCCGAAAAGAGCAAGTCAGCTGAGTTGAGGTGCACTCGTTTGGAAACACTTTCGTTTCCAGATTGAGGCATTTTCATACTTCCTATTGATAAAATCATTTTAAATAAATATTTTGTTTCCAACTCACCATGCATGACGGGCCAAAATTCGTTGATAAGACCCTCATAGATTAATTGACTCAAGCATGGTGTGAGAACATCGACACTGCGATCAATAATTACAAGTAAGTCAGTTTGGCCGGGAGTATTTAGAGGTGAAATCATTACACCACTATCATCCTCCGTTAGCATGTCCGCATTAGCCTCTTGACGCATATGGGTCAGCATTTCGACAACACGCTAAAAGTAAACAACATGAGTAAAGAAAAAAGGTCCCACCCACCTTAGCTTTAGAGCCTTTCGCTTTAATACGCGGGAAAAGGCCATATACAGATTGGAACTTCATGAGACCTTTAGCGAAGTTAAATAAACCTGACTCTTTATCTCGAAGGCTATAATCCTAAAAGCAGAACATACATACACATAGAGCATAGCATACAGCGAAACAATCTGGATCTTCCATGGAAAGGAGATCATTATCAATAGGTAGGAGAGTTAAGGGGAGATCGTAAACACCAGAAAGTTTATCAAGGAGTTTAGTTCCTTGAAGGAATGATTTGCACGCGACAGGCATTTTTGGAATTGCAATAAGGCAATAGTCTTTCTTGACCGAATCATCCTTGATTTGACGAGGCGAAAATTCACTTTAAAATGTAAATATGAACGTAAGTGCGTTTATGGAGTCTATAAAAAAGGTTAAAATGACTCACGAGTTTAGAAATTTGACTATGAGATCGACGGTTCGTAGTTCGGGGTAAAAGATGAAAAATACTGTATTAACATCTGGAGGAGTGGGCGCCGAATGACCGGATTCGAGGACAAAAGAGTGGTTAACCTCGTGCTCCTAATATTTAAGAATCAAATAATTCTTTATTACCTTCAGCAAAACGGACCCAATCACGAGATTAACTGGTGCTATGGCTCGCCTTTCCCAGTATATGGCTTTTGGGCCCTCAAATGAATCAAGGATTTTCAGAAGTTCCTTCTGATATACGTCTTTTATTGGAGCGGTGGTTAGAAAACTAGTTACACTAGACATTTTCGTCAAACGTAAAGCATCTACAAAAAAATAAATACTTAGCAATAAATTAGTAATTTTAAAATTAACAACATATCAAATCTATTTTGTATATGTTGCATTCTATTAAGAATAAAGGTTTCGTAGAGACACAACAAATTACAATAATTACGTGTATTTTAGAGTGTTAAAATACTGGATTACACAAAAAACCGTCGGTCATTACCCCGAAGCTCACTTACTTCAACTACCCCGCAAATTAAGGACAAAATATTTCAAGGTCGAGCCATCTATTATAAAATGCGATTATATATTTCAATTTATAGACGAATTTAATTTTAAATTATCAAAATTCTTTTACTTATTAAATCATGGTTCCAATTGAACTGGACTGATGTGGTTTTCCATGCGTAAGGCTAATAACTGGCAAGCTAAACAGATTTGACATATAGGATAGTATTAAATTAGTCGTGTTCCTGAAGGTTTTAATATAACCGTGCTTACATTGTTTTTTTCTAATTATTGAGCAGTGCTAAGGACACGTTAATTAAATTATACAATACTAAACACTTTAAATTATTTCTGCTCGCAATCTTATCTAAAGAGTCTCTAATGTTCTCTTACCCTACGAAATGTTGATTCAATTTGGTTCATTATATGAATGGTCACAAAAGGAAATCGACCAGGTAGAAAAAAGGGTTCATCAACTTCGAAATCCAATTGTTTGTTCACAACAAAGAGGATTAATAACGTTTTAAAGGAGTATATTTTTATCATCACCTAAGTTTTTTTTCTTCTTTAACTCCCACATCAAAATAATCAATGGGATAATCATCTTGAGGGTCCAAAGTGATTTACGCATTGTCTAGGCATATATTTTCTTCTTTTAACATAAATTTTTTAACAGAATTTTTAACATGAAATCTTATTATAGAATGTTTATACTATCTCATATGGACATTCATTTCGTTCCTAAAAAAATTAATATTTTTTGAAAATGGGCAGTGGCAATACAGCGTAAGATTAAGTAATATTAAATCTTTTGCGTATCAGAACTTTTAATTATTTCATTTGCTATATTTCAGTCTCTGAAATATTACACCGCTTTTGATACATCGATTTATTGTTTTTGCAATATTAATAATTTACACACTAGCCTTTCACAAGATTGTCAAATAATATTGGAAGAAATTAATAAAATATAAACTTTGAAAAAATTATATTTAATTATCACGTTTGATTGTATTTACGGATCTAAATGTCCTAACGCGTAATTTTGGTTTGTGTGGCCTCTAGCGTTCAGTTCTTCTCTGTATTCCATAATGTCTCTTGGAAGGAGATGGAACATATCGTGCCTCAAACAACCTTCTGAAAATTGTCAGCGTTCATTTAGTGTACTTTTAGAGCAGCCTGATGAAAAGGAGGTTCTTTACTTTGAATCAGGGGCTATCACCGAATTAAATCGTCACGATTTTTCACCAATAAAAGATCTTTTTATGAAAGTCGATAGTGCATTCTGTTGTTTGGGAATATACAGATCTAACTATTATGATTCAGTTCTCAAAACATCACTCGCATTTCTCGTATACGTTACTGAATGCCATATGGTTGGTAAGCTTCCGAGTTTTGAAGTCTATCGAATCACAAATGTGCAGTTTTTGTGTCTAAACAAGAAATTAAGTGAAGAGGATCCTTGTTCTGAGGTATTATAGTTTACTGCACTTAAATAATTTGACTATTTTGGTTTTAATTTACACTCTTACTTGTAACCTTTAGATAAAGAAACTTCTTTCCTGTGGTGCGTTTTATTTCGCTAAAGATCTTCTAACCAGACTCCCTTATGATTTAACTCGATGTGCACAAAACCATTTTCACAATACTCAACTTAATGGACTAACGTTTGACACCTACGATCACCGGTTTCTATGGAACCGTGGATTAATGGTACCATTCTTTCAACAATGTATATCCCCATCAAAGTGGATTTATCCCATTATTTGTGGAAGCTTCGGTGTGTTAACACTCTATGCAGGGCAACAGCGTTCTCAAATTGGCATTGTTTCGCGCCTTTCTTCCCTTCGCCCTGGTACGCGTTTCAATGTTAGAGGTGTAGATGACAATGGCTATGTAGCTAACTTCGTTGAGACCGAAGTTGTAGGTTCTATTCTTTTTAATCGTTTTATTTCATTTTTCATACTCTGCATATTTATTGCTTAACGTTTAGAAAGGCTAAATGTGAACGTTACCCAGTAAAAAGGAAAGTGAAATTTGGAATGTTCATCTTTGAAGAATCAGGAATTCTCATATTTTGGAGTTTTGACAACCATCCTCTTGTTCTAGTTTATGAGATCAAAATAATTCTGTTCTCTTGAAGTTTATTTTTAAAGCATTAGAAAGGCAGTCCTCGTTTTATTTGCACTCTATGAGAAGTTTTGGAAAAAAAGAACCCTCAAATCAATCATTCTTGTATTAGATTAATTAGTGATAAACCCGAAAGATGTCAAATTATCTTGTTTTCTAAAGCTTTATTGATTGAGAAATTCACATTTTGTAATCTATCCTTTAACTGATCAAATGTTGTCCGAGGCTCGAATTATTTGGCCTTTCCTTTTGAAGTTTAGTAAAATAAATAATATGGAATTTTTAATGCTCTGGTATCTATGCTAACTAATGTATCCCAAATATGTGTTCAATTTCATAATGTACTCCTGAATTAGTTACTGAAATTCACCTGTACTTGTATTCGATTATTCATGAATGATAACCGGAGGCCCAGAGAAGCTAGTGGACATTCCAGGTCACTTAGCTGCAAGTCTTAATTTCCCGTAGAAGAGAAAATTTTTAATCAGCCTTTTTGAGAGAGCTTAATTTATTCTTTAATATTCTGCCTTCTTGGGGAGGGTATTGCCTAGGGCAAACCACGAGACCTAATTCGAGACTTCGAAAAGAGATGAGAGCTTGAATTGGAACAAAGCATTATAGCACCAACATTTATGGAAGCATTCTAATATTCATATTGGCAAGAAAGGTGAGGTCATGAAACGGTCCTGGAGATAAACTTGAAATTTGTCTCCTAAAGTTGACAAATGATATTGCCCCCCCCCCCCCAAGGGTGGACACTGAACTCGTAATCCCTGAGTCCACAGACGAGCACGCCGACCATTGCACCACTAGCGTCCACAGAGGTACTCATATAATTTGTTAATCAATGTTAAGTATCATCCAAGTGTCACATTTACCTCTTAAAGTTGGTATTTCAATGTTTTCAGTTGTTATGTAAACAAATTTCCGGTGCCAAAGTTCCAAAACTCAACAAGTGCGTTTGCATTAGGACTTAGCAATTTGATAAAGTTCTGAGCTTTCCTTTAGAAAATATCAATGATGGTTATTAAAAGAGATTATCAATAGTTATCTATTCTCTTTGTAGCATACCTTGCGCTTCAAAGTTATATAAAGTTAGCTTGAGCACTTTCCTTATCAATAATATAAAGATATGCCCGCTGATGTATTTGAAATGTACTGCAGTTCCCATTGGCCTTTTATGAGAAATTTGGTAGACAATTTTTGTACCACCGTTATTTGACAAATTAACCTTGATCATAAGTCATTGTTTATAACTAATTTGTTGTGTATTAATCAGATATACTTATTTTATTAATGGCTTACCAGAAATGGAAGTGAAAAAATGTAATCTATTTTTCATTTGTTGCTAATTCTCACCATGTAATAATTATCGGGATTTTCTCCTCTTTAGGCTAATAGCTAATTGTTCCGTTGGAAGTTTGGTATTAGTGGGTCTTTATTTAGAAACATCGTTTAGAAAAGGGGATTTAATGTGATAGAACCTAGTCTGTATGATGTGGGAAAGATGGACCAAGAACCAGAGCTTAATTATAAAGGGATGGGACCAACTTTCTAACATGACCACAATCATTCACTTGGTGCAAGAATCATTTATTTATTTATATCAAATGGCAGGCGTTTTGACGGTTATCATCAGCCCTTTAGTTGACTTCGGGCTTCACAGAGGGGAAGGTACATCAAAGTGAAAAAAGTCGAGAGGGGGAGGAACAGAAGAGTGATTCATAGATGTAAAAGTGCCAGACACAATGGTAAAGAAAAAGGTAAGGCGGGCACTGTGTAAGTGGTCGAATATGACATACATTCGGGTCATGGTAATTTGAAGTTAGAAGTCAACTGGGGGTTTATAGACTTCTTTCCGTATGAGTAGTCGTTGCTCAGGGTGCCCCACATGGAGTTGCCTATCGCACACCCCGGTGCAAGAATCATAAAGTCGAATATATTTACTTCTCTTGTCAATGGACACGCTGACCTCCCATGGTTTGACCTTTAAAGTGACCTACATTGCCTACGTGCTGTCATGTGTATTTCCTTACCATACTATCAAAGCTTCGAGCTTACTTTCCACGTGAGAGATTCTTTTCAGGTCTTATCGATCTTAGTTTTTCGGTTAGTAAGTCGTTACTATTTTACCATTGAGCTTTATTTGAATGCTTCACGTGAATTTAGGAATTTTTCTTTAAACAATCATAGGATATATATATATATATATATATATATATATATATATATGCGATGTTAAAGTCACCTGGCGAATGACTATCAATGGCAACTGTTTATGTTTTCTGCAATAAATTTAATTTAGTTTTAACCACTTTTAAAATGTTCATGATTATAAAGTATCTAATGGCCTTTTAAATCGAGAGGCTGTGTAAACGACCTTTTGATAGGTCTCTATAGTTCTGTCTATTATTTGAGAATCAGAGTGAAGTTTAACAAAACTGAAGTCTTCAGTTGTTTCAAGTATTAAATTAGCAAACTGTTCAGTTATTTATGCATTCTGAGTATCTGACGGGAAGCAAATACCTTTAAAGCTTAAAGTAAGGAGATTATAATTTGCCGAATACATGTTAAAAGTGATTAGCATTCCTCTTTCCTTGTAAATAAGACGGTTATACTCTGTTGAAGCATATTTGGTAGCCTCCATATTCGCAGATTTCACAATTTGTTTAGTCCTTAATTTAGAAATGGTCTCTTGGCCGCCCATTCCAAACCACCGATGGGATACATTTTAACTCGTAACATAGTAGCATCTCTGTTGGACAAACAACCAGCTTCTTTTCTGCTAACCAGTGGGTTTGGTATTTCCTTCGTAGAGTTTAATAGCGATTGGGGAACATTCCCAAGCTTCTAACTTGCCACATTAGCTTGCAAGTCGGTAAACTATCACAGTGGAAATTCACTTCAGTAAGAATTGGTTGTATTGCAATCGGCCAAGTCGACATTCACTCTTGCCTTATTTACTCTATTTTTCGGCTATTCTTGTGCCATGAAATGCTCTGTTTTTACTTAGTTGATTATTGAATCCTCTTGCCTTGGATTAATAGAAATTTTCAACATCCCGTGGTTTTGAAATGCGTGATATGAGTATATATTTATTTCTTAGATATCACTTTAGTCGTCTCTAGTGATTTTCGCTATTCCTATGACTGAGAACCGGTTTATGTAAGTCAGCTGTGACGCCAAATATTATTCGTTCAATAATTGGAAATTAATGTGTCAAAACTTTAAGCTATATTATCTTTATCACTTTTCATACTCCATACTCTTTGGATTATACATGTCCGTTCCATTTTCCTCTCTCTTTTTTTGGTGTTTTTGTGGTAAAAATGGGCTGTTCTTGTGTATAAGCCATCTTTCTTCATGAACTTTTTATCTTTGCCAGGGTAGCAGGGTCGTCGCAGTATTTAAGATAAATTTCTAGGTAACTCCTCCTCCTCTTCTCAGCTTGACAGAGTCATAGCATTTTAGTAGAATAGTCACATGACTGATATATATTAGTTAATTACTACTCTGCTTATCATATTTCTGTCGTCTTGCATCACGATACCTGATGAAGATAATAGAAGCTGGTTAGTTAATAAATAGTATCAAAGATGTTATTTATTTCATTAAAACTATGCTGAGAGGAGAGAACGCGAAATATGGTTATGTTAGTCTTGAAGTCGAGATGTCTATATAGTTGTTGTAGTAGAAAATAGAAAAATATAACTTTTATTACTTCCACTCCAATTTTGGATTCATAGCTCGTCGACGATCCGAGTACGTTCCATTTTTATGTATTCAGGGAAGTGTTTGAAACTCACATACAGCTCCTATAATTTATATTCTTTTGACTTTCTTCACTAATTGACCATGGGATATTTGACGTGAAATTGACCCATTCGGAGCCACATGGTACCTATTACTTCCTAATACTATGCTGTTATTGGTGGTGAAATAAGTGTTAGTTTGTAAGCATTTTTTGTTTCCACAAGGAGAGCTGTATTTCTGCTGTATTCACTGGTTTTATGACTGGATTAATGACTTATATTTATAGGGTGTTAAAAGCTTCTTTCGGTATTTTCGAAAGGCCTCTAATTAGCAATCCATTAAATGCAGCATTCAACTACGAATCAATTGTGATTTGCAAGTGTGCTAGTGGCAGAAATTGAGTAAGCAAAAAATGCAACCATTTTTTAGCATCTTCAGACCTACATCATGGAAAACGTGTCCCTTAAATTTTCCCTTATGTAGTACTCCGAGGTCCTTACCCCTATCAGAGTAGGCACTTCTCTAATAATCCGTTTTCACACTTGAATTCGCTTAACTGATTTCTCTACTTCATGTTGTGCCATGAAACGATATGCTCTTGAATTTAGGCAACTTGGGGGTGGGGGTGGGGGTGGG